TGATGTTTGGGAATTTGAAACAATGCTTGTACATCATCAACAAGGTTTTACTCAAAAGTATATCGTTTAAGATTTTTGGTATATTTCTCATCATCCTCCCTCTAGAGGTTTTTGCTTTGTTCATAAGAGTTGAGTATCAAAAGCAAAAAATAGAAAGAAAAGAAAAAAAAATTTAAGAGTGAATACAAATGGATTAATTCAAGGCAAACATATTCAATGCATTTTGATTAGTATTAAAAAAAAATAAGCAAGTTTTGCATACAAGAAAGTACTGAACCAAACAAGAAATATTACAAATGTGAATGCAAATTTAATTTGAAATTGCCATGTTAATGAGACTAGTCTCCGTATGGACTTGTTGCTTCAGAAGATGCGCTTTTGAATCTTGACACCATAAAGTCAAAGGAGACTTCAAATCTAACCAACTGGTGCAAAATTGATGACCTTTGCCTCAAGCAAGTCTTGCACTTCATCTCTGAATGGTTTATAATCTTTAGTTGAATGTCCAGGTGCCCCATCATGGTAATCACGAAAGATATTCCCTCAAAATATGTGATGAATTCTTTATCAAGCAAACTTGCATAAATTGCATCACAAAGTATCTTCTACCACATAGAAGAAATGCAAACCATCTTTTACTACACAGAAGAGAAAACCAGTCGCTGAATTCCAGAGCATCTACTACTACCCAAAAGAACCACCATCTTCTATTACACAAAAGCAAAAATCCATAAACTATAACAAGATCTTCTATTACACAGAAGAAAATGAACTTCATCTCCTACTTCACAAAGGAGAAGTTTTAGCAACTGAATTCCAAGGAATCTCCTTCTTCATAAAAGAATCTTCGTCTTCTACTACATAGAAGCAAAATCCAGCAACCATACCAAAGGATCTTCTACTACACAGAAGAAAATAAACTCTGAATGTAGAACTCAACCTTTGAGGTAACTTTCTTCTACACAGCAGAAACTGCACAAGATCTTGATATCTTATAATTCTTCATCACAGAAGTATCACCCATCTTCTACTACACAGAAGAAGCATTCAGCTGAGGAGAAATAGTCTGAAACGGTTTGCCAAATAGGGTCTGGACTTTCGGAAAAGAAGCCAGAAAAGTGCCAGACTTTATACTACAACCCCTTGCAGTCTTCAATATCATAACCAGGTGCCCCAGAATAGGAGACACATCTAGCATTTGCATTGAAATCAGGAGAGAAATTTATGGGAGAATCGCCCAAAGAATAGAGCTTTACCAATTAAAATTCCAATAGACGAGGAAGTAAATGGATGAAAGGTATAAATATTGTATTAACATGCTTCTCAAGTTTCTTTCATCTTTGCTGATAAGCTTTTCCCCATGGGTTCACTTGGAGACTAGAAACTAGCTGCCGACGAGAAAATTTGGGAACACGAAGTTCTGGGTGAGACCCACAAAGTATATCTCAATTTGAAAAATGTCCCATAGGTTAGGGATGAATGACAACTTTTGTTGCAACAACATATATATGATCACTTTTCTTTGCTGACACTGTCTTCAGAACTTCCATTCCCGACTCAACAGAGTCTCTAACTGGTTATTTTCCCCCTTAAGGATTTATGACCACTGACCATTACTTGCATGTCCATAATAAACGGACCATATGATTTTTTTCATCTTATCATCTCATCCAATTCCCCACCAAGTTGTTCCATATCTTTTTCGGATAAGGGAGTAGTGAGAAGTCAAGATTCAAAGTTTTGAAAAGAATACCGGGCCTGAATAAGAATTCCCCACTCTGGGTACCTGTTATGGATGCATAAAGATGCATGAGGTGAATGAGTGGATGCAATTCCATATTCAATTATTTCAAGGAAGCCACATGCTTTTAGTTTCGATTTTGATCCAGTAAGAGATGGACAAACACAACATAATGTTCACAAGCATGATTCCTTGGAAATAGAAAGAACGTGTGTGTTAACTTTTTTTCATGCATACATTTTTTACACATTTCTTTTTTTGTGAAAATAAATATGCTATGATACAGGTGCAGTACTCATGGGATCAAGGTTTCCAACATCAGAAATTTGTTGTACTGTATTTGGATGTGTCGAGAACACCAATATCAACAGTCTGGAATATAACCAAAGAAAACCAAGTCACCAACAAAACACGATCGCCATCAGAACAAAGTCACCATTTGTACCTGTAAAGATTATTCCCTCCCCACTCACGGGTCAAGACTAGGTCTGGGTAAAGCCAATGGTAACTCAAAACCACAGGCTCACTTGAGAGTACTATCATCGTACATCTACGCGATAATGATAGCAACTCATTAAAACCTCATCTAAGCATGGACGACACAACCGTCTAGGGTAATCTACATCCCCTATCTGTTGTGTTCCACTTTATTCATAGTGTTCCTATTGTTTGTCACTTGGTCTGGGTATTGAGCCTTTTACCCCGTAGTAACACCCACCTAACTAAGAAACACAAACCATCACAGTAATAGTATAACAGATAAAATGCATACAAATATATGCACAGACAAACATGTACAAAATGAACAAGCCATAAAGCATACAAATAATCACCCAACAAAAATAAAACAAGAGCTAAGAGCGACTCCGGGATGACCAACATTTGGTCGACATGTCCTCAACAGAGTTACCAGCTAAACTGGTTCACTTAGGAAAGCTTTATCCCTAGTGAAGTCGCCAGCTGAATTGGTTCACTGAGGAAAGCTTTATCCCCAGTGAAGTCACCAGCTGAAACAACCGACTAAATAAATCATCAAGATGAAATCACTAAAGTCGCCATCAAACTTTTTTTATTCCACAGGAAGGGAAATGTAAACATCAAGTAAACCTGAGAATGGTGAAATCAAGGTTAAACAACCGAGAGATCGGGTAAGGGAGTCTATTACGCGAGGGGAAGGTATTAGCACCCCACACTCCCATAGTACTCTACGGTATCCAATTTTGTTGTTCTAATCAAAGGGTGTGTTCAAATCTAATGCTTTAGAGCTAAAAAGAAAAATAGAAAGAGGAAATGTATGTAAAAGAAAACACGGGGAAAAGAAAGGAATATTTACAAAGTTTCGCTCGGATGAGCCCCGTGACGAGATGCCTATGTATCTGTTTTAAGGAATTAGTGTGTCGTAGTTCGGCTCATATGTTTCAGTTTGTTTTGAGTTTTTTAATGAACAATGTTAATTTCTCCCTCTGCCGCAGCTTGACCTTTGGAAACTCACGCGTCAACATAGAAGTGAATTAACATGTTCTTTTGAAAAGTTTGAAAGAAAATCCCAAAGGTAAAAAAAAGGAGTTTGCGTTGGTTGATGTTTTTTACCTTAAAGAAGGATTTGAAAGTTTTTAGATGTTTTATGCATTTTCCAAGAAAAATAAGATTTAGTTTTAAATGCAATGATGCCAAAAGAAAAGAAAAACATCTAAGGGAGACTATCCTAAATTTATCGCTAATGTTATCATACAATAATTGATCCTAAGGTTGAGTTTTGAAAGGGAAATATCTACCATATGTTAGCATGCATGGATCATAATCCTAATGTCTATCTTGAATCGTCGCCAAAGGTTGAATCAAGAAGTCCTAAGGGAGCATAACAAAGGTTCACAACCTAAACTTATGTCTATCTTGAATCACCGCCAAAGGGTGAATCAAGAGCTCCTAAGGGAACATGCCAAAGGTTCACAACTTAAGAAAACATGTACACAAGGATGGAAAGCAAGTAATCAACAAGTTCAAGAGAGCACACACAAGGGAAATCCCTACCTAAGTTAGCATAATTAAAACCTAAGGGCAAAGATAACTATCTTATAGGGGAAATGCAAAGATCAAAGTCTTTATCTCAATTCTAATTGAGTGACATCATCGATCACCAACAGAGGAAGCAAACAATAAATTCCTAAGGAAGCATGCAAAGATCGAAGTCGTTATCTCAATTCTTATTGAGTGACATCATCTATCGTCAAAAGAAATAAGCCATGAAATTTTATGGGGAGCATGCAAAGATCGAAGTCATTTTCTCAATTCTAACTGAGTGACATCATTGATCACCAACAAAGGAAGTAAACACAAGCACAAACACAAATAACAAATAAGTGCAGAATGTCTGCTACAGGTCTTTAAACAACGAATTTGAGTGCACGCTCTTTATTTCCTACTTCTCATGATATCTAGAAAGTGGTAAAGTGAGGTAAGATAAATCAGAATCAGAATGATACCGAACGAACAAAAGTTCGTAGCACAGCAAGCAAAGCAGAGAAACTCGAAAAACTTAGAGCAAGCCTCACCAAGCAATAGAGAAGAGTCAGGAATCTAATTCTTAGAATAAGCGTCGAAGTATCATCGATGTGAAAATAAATCAAAATCGGAAACTCAAGCATTTCCGTATATCATACAATAAACTTGCAAAAGACTCAGATCTCAACAAACAAAGGTGAATCACAAATATCGGACAATCATATAATCATGAATTAATTCCTAAAATCAAATAAAAAAATCTAACAAATTTTTATTAATCTTATCATTTTTATTATAAAATAGAAAAGAGGGAGGTGTTGAATTGTAATCAGAGGTTTATAGGAAGAAAAACGCCAGACCCAAATAGATGAGATCCCAATCAGAATGTTTTGTGTAATTTGATATGCTTCTAAAAAGAGTAATGGGCCAAGCAAAGTCCAATAACAACTAAACCATATTTTTAGCTTCAGTTTGTCAAAAAATGCATGAACCTAATGGACTTTTCGGTCCAGTCCGCAAAAATGCAAACCCATCATATATTTGAGCCTCATTCTAGAACGAAGTTAAACAACAAAAAGGAGATAGGAAAAGCAAAACGGTGTGTTCAGAGCTATTAGGGTTCACAAATTGGGTCTATTGATCTTCTTCAACTAGAAACTCTTTAAACCCTCTCCTTCTCACGCGAACGGCGGTGGCGTGTCAATACTGAATCTTCTTCAATTTCCTTACAGCGCCACCATAATCGCATTGTTCCTCCATGACCACACATCTTGTTTGTCATCCTCTCAATCGTGGTTCGTCTCAACGTCACGATCTCCCTCCGATCAACAAAACTCCTTCTCGCTATCGCAAAAACTCCTTCTCGCTATCGCAAAAACTCCATCTCTCCCCTAAAATTCTGTGGCACAACTCCTTTCATCACCGACGATTTCCTCCTCTGACCTCCACCTTCGTCTCAAATCATCAGTTTCGTTTATCGTTATCAAATCGTCACTGTGATGCAACAACAAAAGCTAGGACAAAAATTAGGAAATTAAAGTCGTAACATCTTACCGGCCGGAGACGCTCCAGCGATGACGTCGATGTTGCATGAAATCCAGAGATTTAGATAATTTCCATTGTTATGCTTCTTCTACTTCTTCTTCTCATTTGCGATTTCTTCTGTGTTTTGAACGTGTTCTTGTCTGATATCGTTGTTGTGTTATTTGCTGTTGTAGAAAATATGAACGAAGATGTTGCGGAGGTGATGAGGCATGAGATGAAGATCTAAGTTGTATGATGAAGAAGCAATTGAAGAAGATGCAGTATTTGTAGTATGTTGAGAGTTGTTGAGAAGATGAAGCTTATAAGTGAAGTTGGAGATTGAAGAGAGTTCCCGAGTGAGAGAGAGAGAGAGCTTGATGGTGATGATGATGGTGAATGTTGAGTGCATGAAGATGATGTGTGATGAAGGTGGTTGAAGATTGATGATGGAGAAGAATAAAGATGAGAGTGAAGAGAGAGTTTTTCTGGAGTTTTTGATGATTCTTATTGAGGAGAATGAAGAATGATCCGTTCTGAGGTGAAAGTTATGTTTTATGTTTTTGTTATCAGTAGAAAGTTAGTTACAGTAAAACTGAATCTGAGCCATTGAATCCTTGAGTTAGTTATAAGATTAGATGGCTAGGATTGATCTGATTCATTGCTCTAAAATTCGGTTATGCTCAGTTGTCTTTTGTACTGGGTTAATTTCTCTGGTTTTTCTGATTTATTCTCTCTGTATTTTCTGTTAAAGTCTGGTTTATTGATATTTTCTTCTGATAAAAACTGATGCAAGGCATTATGGTGAGCTGATTTTTCTGTAGGTTTTTGAATATAAGGCACAATTTTCCTATTTTTCATTACTTCCGATTTCTCTGGTATTTCCTTGAAATATCTTCAGTTTGGATGAGCTATAACTCTGGTTTATGCAGGGACAACATGACACAGTTATGTTCAATTAGAAATTTTTGTTGTTGTTAGTTATGGATAAACGAAAATCAGTTATGGGCTGAACTATTTTTTTCGATGTGGACTGCTTTAGTTCTCTCTTTATTTTTGTTTTGAATAAGTTTAGCATTGTATTACATGTTTTTGTTACTTCAGTTTTGGAAGGGCTTTGAACAGGTCTAAGCGTGTTGTGGCTGTTTTGGATAGCAACATTTGGACATGAGTTTTGGTGGGTTTGCAACATGAAGCAAAAACTTAGGCAAGGCTTGAAGAGTTGATGAAATTGAGGATGAAGACATGTTTAGAATTAGGAATTTTGAGTCTTTAATCTCCCTTTGTCACATAATCTTTTCAACACAATGTAAATGAACTTGCTTGGAACTTGAATGAGTGAAAAGATTTAGATAATAATGTGTTTGAACATATCATGATGATGAACAACAATGTTATACGATTTGTAACAGTGACATGGATCTTTGTATGTAACTTTTGAAACCTCTTGAATTCTATGATAATTTCCTCAGGTATTCATCTTTCTCCTTTCAAATTGAATTGAGCTGATGGTGTGGTGGTGTGATGAAATTTAGAGCACGATACTTGTACTTGATTTTGATGAATGATGTATGATGTTTGAAATTGTAATGAATGAATATGTTGAATTCTTTGAACCTTGAATCATGATGAATCTTGAATCACTCTCCATGAATTCTTCAATGAGAAGCCTACTTCGATCCAAATCCACTCGTATTACAAACAACAAATAACGATGATTAGAACAAACATTGCCTTGATCAAGAATAAACCCTCAAATTCATATCTTGTGTCATGAACCATGCTTCACAATTCAATCCTCAATCCTTAATGACCAATTATCTCAACCCAAAATTAATGTCATGAGGAAAGTTATAAAGATGGATGACAAGGCCTGAAACATGGAAGAATACCCTTGACATGAAACCTTAGTTGCACAAGTGAAAACCCCACTCCTTAACCTTGGAGAGGAAAACCTGGAAATTTGATATTGAGAATCAGAAAATAGCCTTATAGCTTGAAGAAAAACCAGAGGAATCATGCTTTATTGAACACATTCACCGCAGTCACTGACAACCCTAACTTCTACAATCAGCTGATCCTTTAAACCTCAGGGTATTTATTGAATGCGAATGTATGCTATGTAAATGACCTAATATAAAGATATGAATGTGATGCTAAGCCTAAGTCCAAATAAAAGAAATTAGAAGAGAAAATTTGGGGGTGCAACAATAACAAACAAAAATAGTACTAAAAAGTATAACAACACACAGAATTGTTAACCTAGTTCAGTGTAAATCAACACCTGCTCTGGGGACTACCAAGCCAGGAAGGAAATCCACTAGACTGTATCAACTCAAAGCTAAGATAATCCCAAGTTTACAACTTATCACTTAATCACTACCATGTGCAACTCCTACCTAGGTCCTCCCTAGATATGAGAAATCCCATCTCACCTCCAATCACCACAATGATGTCTATAGTCCCAATCCCAGTTAGTGTATCGACGAACTTTCACCCTAAATGAAGATCACACTTTAATTACAAAACAAACACCCTAATCAAGACACCCCTTGATTAAGAATAACATACTTGATCTCACTTCACAGCTTTGATCAAGAACAATACTTAGAGTTACTTAATTGCTTCCTCCAAGAACAATACTACCTCTTGCTTAAAAACTTCAAGGAGAATAATAAGAGATTACAACTCAATAACACAGTCCAACTCACAACCCGAGTGAATCATACAAACCAACTCTCCTAGAGAGCGACATAATGACAAAGCCTTAATGATTCTACATCTTGGACCCATACCAAACTAGGTTACAAACACTTCTATTTATAAACCTTTTCCAAAGTGGATTTGGGCTTCAAAGATGCAGCAAAGAGGCTGCATAAAATGTCTCAATATTTAGAAAGTTTAAATATATTGAAAAACCAACATAATATATTTGATTTTTCAATCTTGGATGCCACATAAGATTACTAAATATTCTCAGAATATTCAGTAATTAAATCACAACAATTGAATCCAGACCGTCAGTTGTAGCAGACCTGATGTCCTATACTTCTAGTTAGGACATCCCTTTCAACATGTTCAAACAACTAGTTGAAACATCTTCCAAACTTCAAAACTGTAATAGACCAGATGTCTTTATCTTCTGGTTAGGACATCACATTTGACATGTTTAATCTACAAGTTGAAACATCTTATTCAACATGAAAACACCACATTCGACAAAGTTAGTTTTACCAAAATTCATGTCAATCATAATTTAAGAGAAATAACATTGTTCTTGATTGAGTTTTCAAGAAATTCACGTCAGAGACCATGTTTCCAAGACAAGTGAATCAATCGTTGCAAAGTTGGCTAGTGATAAGGACATTCCAAATTCTCTTACAATGCTTGACGGCAAGAATTGGATCTGATGGAAAAAAACAAATGCAATCCTTGTTTGGCTTCCTTGAAACCCTATAATTTGTTTTCGACAATGTTCATGCATTGACTGGAAATGCAACTGATGAACAGAAAAAATACGATAATAAAGTCAAGAAGAAAGATTTCAAGGCTGCTTATTGCATTCATATGGCGGTCGATGCTGTTAATTTCGTCAGAATCTCTCATGCTAAAACGGCGAAGGAGGCATGTGGTATTCTAGTGAAGTATTACGAAGGAGGTAAGAAAGTCAAGGTTGTCAACTTACAAACCTTGCATCGACAATATGAGTTCTTGTCGATGGGAGAAGATGAAAAAGTTGCATAATATATGTCGAAGGTTCAGATACTCGTTCATCTCATGAAGGTTTGTGGTGAAACCATAACTGATAAGATGATAGTTGAGAAGGTAATGAGAATGTTGACCTCTCACTTTGATCACATTATAGTAGCTATTCAAGAATCCAACAATCTTGAAACCATAAAAGTGGAAGATTTGGTTAGTTCGTTGGAGGTACATGAGATGAGAATTGTCGAAAGGAAAGGAGTTCAAGACTCGATACAGGCGCTGCAAGCTCAGTCATGAAAAAAGAATGGTGATTCCAACAAATTCAAAGGCAAAGTCGACAAGGCTCATGGAAATAAGTCTTGGTCAAATTATCACAAGCATCAGCTCGAAGATAGAGCTTATGAATCCTCGAATATAGGAGGAAGAAACTATCGAAAGGACAAAGAAGATAAAAAAGTGTGCAATGCTATAACTGTGAAAAGTGGGGTCATGTAGTCAAGAATTATTGGTACAAAAAAGACAACGAATCGACAGGCAAGGACGAAGGAGCGAACCTTGAACGCCAAGATTCAGATGATTTTGAAGGTGATATGGTGGTTATAGTTGTATTTGCAGATAATCATGTCGAATCCAAGATCGGGTTCCTCGACTCAGGCTGCTCAAATCACATGAGTGGTCAAAAGGAGTGGTTGAAAGATTTTGACGAGTTGAAGAAGAGCAAGGTAAAACTTGCTGATAATAGTTTGTTGCAAGCAGAAGGTTCTGGAAATATAGTCTTTCAAATGAGTAATAGATGGAAAGCTATGATTAAAGATATGCTCTATGTATCTAGAATGAAGTGCAACTTTCTAAGTGTTAGACAACTGGTCGAAAAATGTTTTTCAATAGTTATGAAATATAGAGCTTTGAAATTGTTCGACACCAAGAACAATTTGGTCTTAAAATCTCTGTTGTTGTAGAATGGGACATTTAAGACTATGATCAGTTCGACAAAAGTTCAATGTTTGAAAACTGTTGTCGACCACAAGGATAGTTGGTTGCGGCATTTGAGGTTTGGACATTTGAATTTCTGATCACTCAATCAGCTGATTACTCAAGATATGGTATCTGGTATCCCAAGTCTTGAGATACCCGAAAAACTTTGTGAAGGTTGTTTAGTCAGAAAGAAATCCAGAAACTCTTTTGTTTTGACTATGCCAATGAGATCATCATGAATACTCGAAGTGGTACATCAGACATATGTGGTCCGTTTGAAGAGTATATTATTGGTGAAAACAAATATTTGGTTTCGTTTATCGATGAGTTTAGTCGAAAGTTGTG